TGAGCAATGACTTGCGGATATTTTTATACGGAAAGTACTAATGTTCACTGTTGTTTAAAAGAAATGTTGTAGCTTGCCTGTAATATTTAAACGGAATTCTTTCATCCGTGCGAAGACTAGAAACAAAGTTTTGATCTACTATAGCATATGTTATCAGACGAAAAATGCCTGCTTTACCAAATATATATATATATAATCTCCAAGCAGTGAGACCTTATTATACCTTCCAGGTGAGATAAGCTGCTGGTCACTGATTTGTCCACTTTATATCACGTCGTAGTCCTGACATGGCCTAGTGGTTTGGGTGATCGATGTGCTCGTCATATATGATTGCCGACTTGGCCTACAAAAATACCAGCTGACCTTAAACTACTTGGGATTAAGGTTGTAACGTAAAAAAAAACCTCACGTCTTCAAAATTTGCCTTTTGCTTCGTGTACAAAGTTTAGTGTTGCATTGTACGTATATATTTATTTCTTTGGCTCCGGTTTCGCGACAAATGAAGTGAACTTGAGGAGTTTCATATTAATATTCCTTGTAACAAAATCATTAACGGTGCACCATTGAAAATAGTGATGGGCAAGAAAAAAACACTGTGGCAAAAAAAACATTCATAATGGTTGAAACAAAACGAAATATTTGGGGTGAATCAGATAAAAAGAAACGACAAAGCTTTCGAGCTTTCGACAGGTGCATCCGTATCGTGAATCCGAGGGTTCATAGCTTGTGTCCTGTTGCTGCAAAATCGCATTTCGGTGTCGTGTGTTCGTTATAAGAGTGAAAATCAAATCCAACTATTCAATTACACTAGCCCAAGAGTTGGAGATGGGTGCTGTTGACTAGCTGTCTTCCCTCTAGCGTATCGGTTCAAAACTGTGGTCTTCTAGAGCAGATAACTTTGCTGGAAATTTTGGAACAGTCTTTTTTTTTTACACTTAAAAAAACAGGTGGATTTCAGAGCTAGCGAGTCTGTTTGGAATCCGAGTAATACCATAAACTATTCCTTGCTCTTTAAGCTGTGGGTGCGTTATAAAAGTGACAGTCAGTCCGTTAGCATAAATGGTTGGTTTTAGGGTACTGTTGACTGTTTGTTTTCTTTCTGGTCAGTATTTCATAATTAAGAATGGCGGCAGACAGTCTTAGTAGCTTTGCTATAAATACAAATACAATTCATTGTGATAAGTGTATGATGTTTAATATTTGTGACTTTTATTTGGTTTTGAGTGAAATTGTTTTGTAAACGAACATAATCTACAATTTGGTTTGCTTGGGACAATGAAAGACAATTGAGGAATATTGTATATACTAGGAGTTGTTACCTGTCCTGGAGTTAGGCTAATTTCAAAAGTTTCTACCCCTCATCAGTAACAATGGACAGAAAACAGAAATCATGATTGCGTTTGTTTTAGCGCAAAAACCATAGGCTATCTGC